ATAGTTTGACAGGTCTGTATAAAACTGAGTCTTGGGATCTGCAAGTGTCTTTCCAAAGGAATTGCTTTTACAGCTCCTACAAATTCTGCAATTAAAGCAGTTTCAAGCTAAAACTAGATGGTATCATGCCTCTCTTGCGATGGAGAAAAGCAAGAGAATTGCTCAGCCAATTAGCTTAATCTGTCTTTTCTCTCATTTGTCTGTTTTGCATAACCAGAGTATTAACCAGCAGTTCACCCTCGCTAATCCCCAGAGCTACAAAGAAGAAAAGAATCCATTTGTATATTGCAGTGTAATCATAGTATCTACTAATTTACTTCCATACACTACAGGGCAGTTTTGAAAGGAGATTGCTGGCATTATCCTCACTTTCTAAATGAGGAGACTTACAGTACAGCAAAATGATTTCTCAGGAACTGAGAGTTACTGATAAAGTAGAGCCTGATATCAGTGTAACTGATAAAGTAGAGAATAAAATTTGGATCTCCTAAATTCTCAGCACAGTTCACTCTTTGCAAGCTTCAGTGCTCACTTGCATCTGGGATTACAAGGGAAGTGTGCAGCAAACCTTTTTCTCCTGCATTCCTAAGTAATTTATTTTCTAATTTTCTTAATATCACCACACACTGAATTGCATAATTACAAAATTATTTGCTTTCCATATGTTGTGCCTACAAGGATATAACAAGGACTTTTTAGTAGTTGTAGTAGAAAATAAGTTTGACTTCAAAGAAGGGGGCTGGCACTATCCCCCCTTCCTTCTTTCAAAAAAGGTGCTTTCAAAAAATGAGACAAATCTCTATGGATTAAAAAGAATGTATTGTTTGCAAAAGCCCTGCAAACTTCCATCTCAGCTTCATAGCTCATCACACATAAACTCTCACAGGAGCATCTGTTTATTGCTGTTCTGTTCCAGATGCTTCTGTTATGACCCAACCCTAGTCGTAGATCTTCTCCTCCAGTAACTGACAGTATTGTACCAAAGAGAGAAGAGGACTTCTTTATAAATTATTAATTTAATTTGTAAGACTCCTATATTCCTTCAATTCCTTAGAGGCAAGATTTTTGGAAAGGTCAGAAATATGTTCTTGTATTAATAGTTTTTCTCAAGGCATTGTGATCTTAGGATTCAGAAACCAGCTTAACAATCAGGTAATGACATCCTGGCACTGGTGTGGAGATTTGCCTACTCTTTGTACCCCAAGGAAAATAAACCATTGGAGAAAGGCATAGATCACTGTGTCTTATGTGTCTGCACAGTGAAATTCCCATAAAGAAATTTTCAAATTTCTTGTCCTAGCTAGGAATACATGTGCACTTACATGTTGACGTTTGAGTTTTCATTTGCTTTCAGAGTTCTCACTGTTCCTCGGCTCATAAACTGCACACATTTAAACCTATCATAAACTATCATTAGTTTAAAAAGAAGCAAGAGTTTTTCACGTTGATCTCCTCTTGCAGTTTGCCAGCAGATATTTTTTTTTTTCCTGTAAAAAAAGGCTAGTATTAAATTTAAATTTCTATTCCTCCTCGGTGACAAGAAGCATGGCTAAAAGATCACACTGCCCTGAAGAGCAGGTGGAAAATATCAGGCTCCTTGCCTCAAGATACTGCTGCAATTGAGCATGTTTGCTATCTGAGGGTTAACAAGTGAGCAGTAGAATCTTCTGAGTTTTGAAAGCTAGCAACTTTCAAAAGAGGCTGGCTTTGGTCTCCAGTGAACCAGTCTATAGAATCTTGCTCTCTGGAATCAACCTTCTGCATTTAGCTGATGCATTGACTGTAAAAAGCCTTGCAAGATCTCTGCCTAGACACAGTTTTAATGACCCCCTTTTAGTTTTGTGGCAGCTTCTAGTTATTGAGTCTCAATGGCAGGACACAGTGCTCCATGATTAATGGTGTTAGACATACAGAGCAGCCACAGACTCCTTCTCTTAGGCAGCAAAGCAAAGATTGAAGTGGCATCTTGCAGCTACCCATGCTGGGGACAATCAAAGAGTCATCAATATCCCAGAGTGAAAATATGTCTGTATCGATTTCAGGTGTGGGGAATGTTGAGAGGTGTCATTCATCATAGTTGACTGGCAGGATGTTTGGGGAGGGTGTGCTAAAACATGGAGAAATGCCAAAATGCTCATAAAATTTGGCAACTTCATGAAAAAAATATCATCTTCCCTGCAAGCTAAAAAACTAAGTCTGACATTAATTACTTAAGTCCTAATACTCTTGAACTTATCCCTTATTCCTATGCTCAGCTGTTCTATTACAATAACAATTAATTTGAATGTGTTACAAGAATATTTGAATTTTATTTATGGAAATACCCACAATTTTTCATTTTGGATATATATGGAAAGTTGATTGCTTTTTCCATAATTGGGACTGCAGCTGGAAACTTCTCCAAAGCTATTATTAGTTCAAATATTATCACAGCTATAGCTTTCAGGACTGATTGAGATTAAAAATTAATCAGTCAGCCTGGCCAAACGTTAGGACTGGTTGTGGCCTCACTGTGGAACATTTAAGAATGGACTGGCTTTACTATCACTACTTGCCATTCCTTGAAATATTCCAGGTAGTTACACTTTCTTGGAAGCTTGTGTGTAATTATATTTGAAGAAAACAAGTTGTAAATGATTAAAGTTACCTGTGTACACTCCACAAAATTGGCATAGCATGTTATGCTGAAAGACTGCATTTCTGTATGTGTAAATTATGTGCAACGCTATATCCTATGCAAGCCCAGTTGTTTTCTGTTTACTTGGAAAGAATATAGAGGTCTTTCTGTGCTTCATCAGTGGAAAGCAAAAGGAGCTACTTCACCATACAGTGCTATGCTTTTTGAGAGTTATGAACCAAGTCCAAGACCCAGTTTATAGGGCTAACTATTCTTTCTGCTAACAGTGCTACTTGTTTGTAATGAGGTTTCACAGTGAAATAACTTCTGAAGGACTGCAGAATTTTTTAGGCACATGGCTGGCAGTGATGGTAGAAAGTGGAGCATAGTACTAGGTGTTATTGAAGGAGGTGTGAAGCAATTGGAGAAACTGTTCAACAGTTTGAAGGTCATATGTTTGAAGATCAATAGCATTTTGTTATTCCATATATATCCTCCTTGGTGTGTGCATACGAAATTCCTTGAACAATTCAACAGAGTGCAGGCAGTGCCTCATCTGCTCTGGACAGTGGCTTGGTGTTCTCTGAGCCACAGGCAGAACAGAACAACTAGAAATAACTTGAGACCAACCATTTTTGACTATTAGAAACCATTTTAGCATCTCTATCTGGAGTTTTCCAGGAGGACTAATTTATCATTTCTCAGCTCATCCTGAATAGCTCATCTATGTCTGTGCAGACCGTCTCCATTAGGATGAAAAATGTGCCAAGAATCTCAAATATAACACTGAGTAAACCTGCCAAGGGATGTTTATATTCCAGGTGTCTCTGACTGATAGTTCTTTTCCTTACAGAATTTATTTGTGTTTGCTTTTTACAAAGGAGCCACATCCTTGCCTGGGGCCAGACTGAAGGGTTGTGTAAGTGGTGTGAATGCATAAATGCAAAGATGATCAGAAGTTCATCTTCGTAGTGCCTTGACGTGGCTGCTTCTCTGTGCAGGCCTTTTCCCTCCCACTGCACAGAAGGGCCTCTGCAGAGCTGTAATTAATGCTAGCTCTGATGATGATTTGAGGCTAAGACAGCCTGTCACTCCTGCAAGGACTGTGCCTTTTTCCTCTGGCCAGGCCAATGCAGTCCCAAAAGCCGTCACACCAACTTGCTGTGTGGTGCAAGTGTGGTAGGGCTCCCTTGATGCTACTGTTGAAGATCTGCAGCTCTAAATCAGAATGGACTGGGTTTAATTTCAGGTTTTTTTCTCTCACTCATGCCTGTTATATGAAAGTAAATAGAAACATGCATGGGGTATCTCTTTGGTTTTATTCTTGGCTACACGCTAGGCACCAAATCTGTGATTCTCCACTGTATTCCACTAAAGTGCTGCCATTTTCACCAGTTTGAAGTGGGGGTTGGCCATGGACATTCTGATCTGCTAATTTGGAATGCTAGCCATGCTCTAATACTGCATGAGTTCAAATGACTGCTTAAGTTTTGTGATGGCAAAAAATAACATCTATAAATGATCAAACTTGCAGCACAGCTTCAGCCTAGCTAACTGGTTTTTGAAAACAGGTTTCTGTTTGAGTAGAATATTTATTTTAAATAAACTTTGTTTCTGCCTCTGTATCTTCCTACCTCTCCTTAAACTTCCACAGCTCATACCACCAATGCCAGGATTTCATTTTCACTCACAGAGAGGAAGATGGTTGCAGGAAGACATTTCTGGCTAATATGATTTCTATTATGCATTTCTAGGAGATATTTTCCACAGTGAGGAGTAGGAGGATGGGAAAAGTAGGTGAGGGAGGGGAGTCAGAGAAAGAAGTGGCGGCCTACCTTACTTTCTCAGGGAATGAGAAAACTAAATGCAGTCCCTCTTCATCTCGAGACAAACAACTTGCTGATGTTAGACAGTAAATGTTCAGGCACCTGTGATTTGATGTGACAACTCCCAAGTTCATATTCAGCAAGTGCTAGGGTCATTTGCACACTCAAAAAGATCTGCTCTTTGTAGTCATACATTTTTATTCTGAGTTATTTGTTCAGGTTTGAATAGATTAAAGATTAGGACAGACACAAGTGAGGAGGTAAAAAAACCTAGACTAGCCTGATCTCCTTTTTCTTGTTCCCTTTATTTCATATTTGAGAAATACCTCTCAAAACCTGTGGGCTACTGAATACTGGGATGTTGGAACCACATGAGCTGGGAAGCTTGAATGTTTGTTGGAATTTTATGGCTCTGACTCCCCTCTGCCTGTTTTGAGCACAGTAAACACCACACTGCTCTTATATCTGTTCTCCTCTCTTTTTCCCTAGTGTCAAGAGTAACCATTTTTTTTTCTCTTCCTTTTTTTTTTTTTTTCTTTTTTTTTTTTTTTTTAAAGGATGATTCCAGCTACCAACAAAGCCTTTGTTGTAAACAACCTTGTTTCTGGAACAGGCTATGACCTCTGTGTCCTGGCAATGTGGGATGACACTGCCACAACCCTTACTGCCACCAATATTGTGGGATGCGCCCAGTTCTTCACCAAAGAGGACTATCCACAATGCCAGTCGATGCACAGCCAGTTCCTGGGTGGGACCATGATTCTGATCATTGGAGGCATCATTGTGGCAACTCTATTGGTATTTATTGTAATACTCATGGTCCGCTATAAGGTCTGCAACAATTCCCAGGGGAAGATGTCTAACGTCAGCAATGTCTACTCACAGACAAATGGAGCACAACCAGTTCAAAACGGAGTCTTGCCCCAGGTCAACCCCAAAGTGGTGGTGAGAAATGAACTTAGGGAGTTTAACTGTCAATCTGCACGGAGTAGCATCTCCTCTTCCTCAAGCTCTGCAAATAGCCGTGACTGTGATGACTATAGCCTCCAAAGTGAACAGGGCACATTGTCCAGTAAGTGGAGGCCTCCATCCAGGTCAAAACACAACATTGACCGGCTAATGGGAGCTTTTGCCTCCTTGGAACTGAAATGTCAGAAAAAGGAGGAGATGACAGACTCCAGAACTTCAACAGTGGCCCGCCACTCGGACAAAGAGCCACTGCTGGGCCAGCCAGAGTCCAAATTTCGCAGCCTCCTCACGTTGCCTCTGGAGGGCAAAACTAAACGTAGCCATTCTTTTGACATGGGGGACTTCACCACATCTCAGTGTTGCACCTACCCAAAAAAGATAACAAACATTTGGACAAAGAGGAGCCTCTCGGTGAATGGCATGCTTTTGCAGTATGATGACAATGACCTAACAGGGGCGAAAGGAACTTTCGGAAGCTCAGAGTGGGTAATGGAAAGCACAGTGTAAATATCAGTGTCTCCCCTCCTTCTCTTCTCCCCTCATGTGTTATAAAGCATGGCTTGCTGCAGGGCCATGCATTTGGAAAGAGAGGGGAGGAGACGTTTTCAGTTGTACTGGCCAAAAAGACAGGTAAACAAATAAGTAACAGGGATACAAAGAGAGAAAGAATGTTGTGAAATGTGAATAGGCACATATGGCACCATTCTTGTCTGGCCCCAACTAAACCACGTGTGAATGTTTCGAGGAATTTACTAGTTGTATTTAACATTGCTTTCCAAAAGGTACTCAGACTCTTGGTGAACCATCACACAAGATTAAACAGGAAAGATGAATAGAGGTTTCACAGCACAAAATTTATTTTACAGAGTTTTTAAAATGTTATTTCTTTAAAGGGCACCTCTTTCTTTTCTTTTAGCCACAGAAATACACTTCTGTGGATACAAGACTGGTGCTAGTATATATCTGGTTGTCATTGCAAGTGACTTTCTCAGAAGCGCAGGCAGGGCACCCACAGGGACAGATCAGAACAAATTGTTCGGCGTAATCTCATGGTGTTAACTGTGACATCTGGGAAAACAATACTTGTTGAGTGGGCTTTTGGTTGGGATTTAATGATTTCTGTTCTATTTCACCTTGTTACTGTTTTTGAGTTGTTTGGTTGTTGTTTTTTTTTCTCCACAGCAGAACGTACATTTCCATGTATTTTTTGGTTTTATTTTCAGTTTCATCAAATCCCCCAGATGAAAAGAGGGTATGAATGAAGGTCAAATTTCTGATTCATTGTATAACTCACCTCCATGATGGGTCTTACATCCTAGGCAAAATTAAATTTAGAGGCTAATAAATGAAAACAAACAAAACAAAACAAAAATCCTCTTTCTTCCATCTTCTCCATGGTTTCTGCTTCTGAATGCTCAAGGCAGATTGCAGCAGCTATTGATATCTGCAAGGGTGTTGCTATCAAAGATGGAAAAAATATTAATCAAGTTTTCCTATTAAAAGATAAAGAAGATGACAACAAAAGTGGCTCCCATGAAATTTCCACTTTATGAATGCTGGTTGTTTCTAGAAAAAAGTCATACTGTCACTCCCTTCAACAGAAAAAGGAAACACAGACTTTTACCCTATTGTGACAAGAGCTCTGTCTGTATTGTCACCTTGATAGGGCTTGTCTGCATCAGTAGCATCACCAGAAATATAAGGTTTTCATGTATTTCAGGGGATTTGGCATGTTTCCAAATAGCCATGGAAGTCAAGTTAAATTTGGGTGTTCAGGGGGCCTCCTATATGTCCCCAACATTACAGTGAGTTCTTTCCCAGTCCTCAGTGTACTCCTGTCCCCTTGTCTCTTGCCCTCACTAAGGTACTTGCTAACCAAGAACAGGAGCTATTTAGGGCTTGTAAACTGATAGTCAAATTTGGTTTTGGGGAGCATTGCTATGGTTGTGGAAATGCATATGGCCCACTCAGCTGACTTCATTGTTTTTGAAGACCTTATGGTGATTTCCAGCATTCTGGTGGCTGCTGCAACTGTCCTTTCATTAATTCATTCAATGATCATCTGCTGGGAACCATTTTGAAATTGCACATTGTTTCTATGGTTTTGTAAAAGTTATATGGAAAAAAGGATGCAAGGCACAGAGAAGAAAACACATGAAAAAACTAAATGTATATTTTTTTTAAAGGTGCAGAGATATATTGTGACATGGCTGTGTACTTGATCTTGTATTCGTCACGTTTCCTACTTGGAGTTTTAGAAAATGACATCCCTGTAATCAGAATATTTTTCCTTTATTTTCTTTTTTTTTCTTTTTGCTACAAAATGTACAGTAAAAACATTCTTGGGGAAAAAAAAGTACCTGCTTTTCATTTATTTGTTGTTCTGTGGTCTGCTTTGAAGCCTAAGTACTCATTTCTGAAAATATCTTGAAAATCTACATTTTCTTTCTCTCAAACTACCTTTGACTTAATGATTTTAGGTATGAAGTAAGAATCAAGAAATACAGACCTTCTTGGAAAGTGTGAGCAAAGATCTTGTAAAAAGGCATTTAACTTTTTTTTCAGATATACATCACCAATGTATTTTAAACCCTGATTCAAAATCCTCATAAATAAAAGGGAGCCTTTTTAGGCTTATGACCTGACTGTAGGGTTTTGCTCATATTATTGCTCACAGCCAACACCAGTATATTCGAAAGAGAGACAGTAAAACTTTATTTGCAACATCTTTCAAAGTTTTCTCACAGTTTTCAAGAGGAATGACACCTCCAGTCCCAGAATCTATATCATCCAACTGTCCAGATGGCACCTTCATGTTAGCCATTAGTGACATTTACATTTATGATGTACTGAAGACTCTTAAAGACGTTCATGTCATTATTTTCTTTTCCTTGTTACACTGTGGTGTGGTTGGTCTCTTTTATTATGTTGCTGCTTCACTTTGAACCCAACATCTGGGTTGTTTCAATTTAGCCATAGAGTTAATCATCAGTATTAGTAGCACATGTAGTTGTGAATTTTCAAAAGTAATGTCCTATACTACTTTCTTTATTAAAAGGAAAATATCTCTTTTACTTTTTCATACAAGATTAGAAGAAGTAAGCCAACAGATGCTGCTTTAAAATAATGGATAGTTGCCAAAGAACTTAAGTAATAAAGTCCACAATCTAACAGCTGCATTTATTACTGTTAATTTTAATTCAGTTAGCTTTAATGAATGAAGTTCTATCCACATCAGCAAATTTGCATATACTGAGTAAAATTAAGTCCCCAGCAATTACCTTTGGTGCCCATGGCATTTGGGAGGAGGAGGACTCAGGGACTCAGGTGAGTCAGGGAGCCCGATGCGAGTGAACGAGCAGCCAACCCTGAGAGAGGGATGGAGCAGCCTGATGTGGTGGTGTCAGTGCCTGGACACCTGCTGAGTTGTGATCGTCCTTCAGGTGCCACCAACGACTTCCTGCTAGCGCAGCCAGCCAAGCAGACTTCTGAAATTATTTAGCTTTCCCTTTACCATTTTGATATCTGCTGATATCTGTCTTTTATGTTACATTCTGAATCTATATCCTAATTGCTAATGTACCAGTATGACCCAAGGGTTGTCTACATGTAACCTGACTGGTCTTTACCTTGCCTTTATTTTACCTTCATTTTTATGTGTGCACCTCACTCAGAATCTCTGGATTTGATAATTTTTATGTAATGTTGCTGTGTGGTAAAGATTCTCTCTTCCTCCACTCCTGAGAGCAGCTGTATGTTGGCGGCTGGTGAAATGACCTGAGCTGGTGAATACTTACTTTTGTGTAATAAATATTTTCACACAACATTGAGGAGCTGAGCTAGCTCCAATGGCCAAGTCCTCTGGTCTCACAACCTTATACTGAGAAATTTATACATGTCTCAAGAAGCAGTGCTATCTCACAAATTAAAATATAGCGTGCAATGCTTCAGATGCAAGTGTTGGATAGAGCAGATAGTGATGAGGACAATGGAGATAAACAAGAGCCTTCTGAAAAAAGGAGCTTGCAAAATTAAAGGTGCTACAGAATTTAAAGTGAAGCCTGTGGGAATAGTTAAAGACAACTGCATATGAGTATACAAACCCTGCTAGTTAATTTTTTGACATCTTTTCTAGCAGTGGAATAAACTTTTTTTTTAAAAAAAATATTTTTTCTCTTTAAAAAAAGACAACATTCCATTTACTTAAATGAATAGGTTATGAGTCCACTGTGAAATTCTGCACACGGTTAGTCCTGCTGAAAAAAAACCAAAACAAATCCCCAAAATAACATCCTGTAGGCTATTAAACAAGATGACAAAATGGAAATTTCAGAAATTAATGATACTGTGGATTTCATTTGATGTCTGCTAGGAACCAAATGATTGAATGAAATTAAAATGAAACTGTGTGTGTGTGTGCATGGATGTTTATGTATATACATATGCATAGCAAAGCAAACCATATTACTTCCTTTTATTTATATCTTCCTCCAAGATTTAATTAATTGGAACATATTTCTGGTTTCAAATGTCTTTTCTGAGTTTGCCAGCTCTAGAAAACAGCAACAAATTTGCTTTCCTCTTAACCTTAAAGGAAGATAACTTTTTATATGTCTCTACACTATACCCAGTGCTTGGTTACAATTTGGATAAATTCAGTCATAAAGCAATGCATAGCAACAAAACAATGAAAGGTACCTCTGCTCTGTATGATGCAAAACTGAAAAGCTTTTCCTTTGCTAAATCTGTTTATATCCCACACCATGGGATTGATTCACTCTGGGAACAGAACCAAACAATATTCCAAAAGTCTCTGCTTGTTCCATTCTGACTCTTCACTCAGCAAAGCGTTTTAAGAGCCCTTGGAGGTATCTGAGCAAGTGCAATAAATGCAGCAATGATTAAAGCATCCCAGAGGCTCTAACCTAGAGGACAATGAATAATTCCACCTGATGATAGCCAAGAAAACATTTTAGTCTTTGAATAGCTTGAATGTCACATCTGTTTGCAATGCTTTGTACCCATTAACCTGTGGGTAACATACAGCACACCATATGGTGCACGCAGCACCCCTTTCTACTTCTTGCAGCTTATTTACAGAATCATAGATTCTTAGAATAATTTGGGTTGGAAAAGGCCTTAAAAATCATCAAGTCCAATGATTATCTTAGCGCTGCCAAGTCCACCACTAAACTATGTCCACACCTACATTCCTTTTAAATGCCACCAGGGATGGTGACTGCCACTTCCCTGTGCAGCTTGTTCTTGTGCCTTACAACCCTTTTGGTGGAGAAATTTCTCCTAATATCCAATCTAAAGCTCCCCTGGAACAACTTCATCCCATCTCCGCTTGTTCTATCACTTTTTACTCGGGAGAAGAAACAAAACCCCGCAAAGCTTCACCAGTGCCCACTTCAGAGAGATGATCACTTCCCTAGTCCTGCTGGAAGCACTATTCCTGATACAAGCCAGGATGCCATTTGCCTTCCTGGCCACCTGAGTACACT